TTTTTTTAAGCTCCCCGATCAGCTCCTAATTTGCTCCACCCAATGTTCCATGGTCAGCTGTCACTCCTCTCTCCCCTCCACCCCTCGCCATGAACAACATGGCAATAATAAATACCAATGTGTCAAATCACCCTGAAACCAAAAACAATTTAACCTAAACAAAACCATTCATGAAAGGGCACACATTTTCTAGTACTTCATTAAAGCGAGCCATTTTCACATAGCACTATGCATGCTGTTTATTTGCTGTAAAAGAACCAAAACACGTTCTGGTATACTTCTAATTTTGTTGACTAAGACTAACCTTGCTATAACCTTATTTTTGCACAATAAAAACCAAAAAAAAAACCAGTAGAATTATTCCTCCAGGAAATATATTTTTCAAAAAAGTATTACAGAGTTGTGAGATTCTGGAGTTCACTTTGTAATGTATAAATGATAAACCTGAATTACAAAAGAATGTAACATTGTTCTTATTATCTGTGTATGACTTTTTGTACTAACCCTTAGCAATTTAAGATGTAATGTAGTTTTGGAAAATACAGTTCTGTTGAGACTACATTGTATTGCAAATGCATAGATGAACCTCTGCATTTCAAGTGAAATAAACAAGAAAGCAGTGTTGTGATCCCTTTGAAACCATTGAAATAACTGCTCTGAAATGATAATTTGTTTGTTAAGTATTCAGATGTGCATTATCATTGAATATTACTTATTTTTCTTAAAACTGTACTTCCTTTTATGTGTGCATGTAAAGGATTGTTTCATGCTAAATACCTGTGTCTCTGGAACAATAGGGTTCCTTCTTGGGGAAGAGCTGAAGAAGGTCGAGAGAGGAGAAGAGATTATAACTGGGTCAGGCCTCACAAAACCACTTAAATCACAGCTAGGGATGGTATTTTCCTCTGTCTTCATTGCCAGAGTATCCATAGCGTAAAAGCTGTTCCATGGAAGCCAAACTGTCCTTTCTTGGTTCATGAAAGGAGCCCTCTGAAAGTGAAGTGTCAGGGATGCTCCACCATTTGCTATTAAATCAAATCTAGAAAGACAAATTACATTTATTAAAAAACATTCTTATATATTTAAAACATAACTACATATGTACATTGTCTTAAAAAAATACTTAAAACCTTTATTCAAGGATTGGACAGAGTAGGGAATGGTTAAAACACCTGCAAGTTTATTTTTTTGGCATCTGTATATTATTAGGAAAATCTGCCAAAGCAAGTAGAATTCCCCTCTTAAGGTGCTCATACACCTTACAATTATCTGTAGATTTTTTCTGCAATCGCATTTTTGTCAGAAAATCTGCCAGTTGATGGAGAGTGTACAACCTCAATTACTGTACAACTGGCAGAATTTTGTCTTTCAAACAAGCTAGAAAACTTTTGTCTAGCTGTACGAAAATTGACAGGTTAGTGGCGTTGATGTACAACAAAAATCTCAAGGTGAAAATGGCACATGCTCAAATGAAAATCTGTCCTTTCGATCAATGAAAATTGGCCAGGTGGTGGTGCTGATGAGTGTTAATTGCAAACTACATTGGTCTGTACATGATGGACTAGTTGTAAGAAAATTAAACGAGGGTGAGATGTCTGGACAAAAAAAGTTGTACAATGGTTGTAATGTGTATGGCCACCTTAAGGCCTCATTCACACGAGAAAAAGCCGGCACGTGCAGCTCTGTGCTGCGTGCTCGGCCGTATCGGGCAGCTCCCGGGAAGGACAGGTGCTGCATGTGATTAGTATGCAGCCCCTGTTCTTCTCTATGGAAGTACGCGGCCGTACACTGCCCTATGCTCACCCCAAGTGCAGGTCCGCACGGGTGCGGGTGTCCCGGCTCGGATGCAGACAGCATCCATCCTGCACCCACACGGACGTGCACGGCGGGTGAGCGTAGGGTGGCATACGGCCACGTACTTCCATAGAGAAGCACCTGTCCTTCCCAGGAACTGCCCAGTACGGCCGTGCACGCAGCTGTACGTGCCATCTTTTTCTCATGTGAATGAGGCCTTAGTGTGTTGCTGGAACAGGTGTCACCAATGGAACATTTCTCCTTACATTTTGTTCTGGGGAAAAACTTTATAGGCAATCTAACCTTTCCTCACTCTATCAACTATGAAAAAAGGTTTTGCATAGAAAACAACATACACTTTAAGATAAAATGTAGTTGTAAAATGTACATTTGTGCGGGTGTCCGTACTCGTAGGCTGACAGGATGGATCCTGCCTGCACCCAAGCAGGGACACCCGCACCCATTTTGATGTACAGGTCGGATGAGCGTGGGCCGGTGTATGGCCGCATGCTCCCATAGAGAAGGACAGACTGCTGCGTATAAATCACACACAGCACCTCTCCTTCCCGGGAGCTGCCCGATACAGCCGTGTGCGCAGCACGGAACTGTATGGGCCGGCCGTTACCCGTGTGAATGAGGGCTAAAATTAGAAATAACATATCCTGTACTATAAAAGAAAAATGGGATTTAAAGGTTAACATGGTGTTCCATGACCTGCATTAAAGCACTTGGACTTCAGTGTTCCAGGCCTTTGTTTAGGACACACCATCACCATCTTCACTATCATATATACATTTTTATGAAACATCTGCTTATACTGACCTATACATATTATAAATCTTATCAAGTTTTAGTTAGCTTTTGACTGTACTTCCTTCTCCAAAATGTTAACAAAAGAGGGTATTTTAAAAACTTTTTCAGGTTCAATAGAGCAAATATTAAGCTTTGCTAAAACACACTGAACATGTTTTTCAGCCTATATCATATTTTGAAATGTCATACCATGAAATTTAAGTTTTTACTTACTACAGACTGAAGCAACTTCGCTTATCCATGCTTCAGACTCACAATTGTGACATCAGATGCCAGGACTCAAAGAGTACGGTTGGTCTGATATCAATGTGCCTGCTGATACTAAGCACTGTAGTCTGCAGGGGGAATATTGAAGCTGATATTGGGTGGATATAAATTTGCTTCAAAGGTGGGCAGTGATGGAACCCCCTGGGGATCTATCACAGAATCCTAGGGTTTTTTGAAATGTCAGTTGAGAAACCCTGCACTATAGGGTTTACTCTTGTAACAATACTGATATATATATA